GCCTGACATTTCAAGGTCCCCGTGCACATGCTTCTATGGTGGGAACGGCGATGGCACTGCCGAGCATGCTGAAGGCTTTGCAGTCCGTATGCTCTACCCCCACTAGACTGACGGCTGCATCACTCCCTTCTCCGCTCAGTTCGGTAGGGTGGAGAGGTTAACCGAGAGGCAGCACATCAAGGAACTGAGAGGCATCATGTCTGACCTAGTGGGTCTACCAGCTGGTCAACCAGACCCATCTTCTTTGCTCTGTCTGCACGGATGTTCCTTCCGGTCAGCATCATATCAAAAGCAGCAGGAAGTCCCACCTGGAAGGGCAGAAAGGGGGTTTCAGAATGGGAGCGTGCCATGCAGAAGGGGCTATGGAGTTAAGTTTTCCTCTTACTTACCATCTTTGGTAGCCTCTGAGTACCCCCTGCCCCTGGCAGGAGACCCAGTAACACTTCAGGTGTTCCCAAAATTGTTTTCTTGTCCTTTGTTGCTATTCTGTAGTGACAGGCAATGGCAACCTTAAAAAAAGGAAGAGAAAACTGAAGTTGCAAGACCACAGAAGAACTGGGCATCCATAGCAAACATCTCTCCTACATGCTGCCTCGGCTTTCTTCCCAACCCTACGCCAACTCCCTAATTCAACTGCCCAAATTCCCTCTGTGCTCAACTGAAGGCTTCTCCCAGCAAGAGCAGCGCACACGGGGCCGACCGCAGCAAGCAGCTACGAGGTGAACACGAAACTACCAAACTGAGCCAAGCCATTTTTAAATCTCACCCAGACCATCAAGGGCTGAATTTATTCCCTACGCTGAGGGCATGGTCCCCTTTACAGATCAGCCACGATACTTGGCTCACCACTGGATCCAGATCTGTCACCACACTGCTTGTAAGAAGCTGCAACTGCCTGAGAAACCAGCACGCAAGAGACTCCCTTCCCACAGGTTACTCTGCTTTGGTAACAACTTTGCTTCAGGAATTACCAGAGTCTTTCAGTTTACAAAATCCTAAAAGGGGATTAAGGAAGCAAACGCTGCACGCAGCTGAAGCAGCGAGCGACGGTGCAGAGGATGCGGGGCGGGGTGGAGCCTGGTCGGGGTCGCCACCCTCTCCCCTCTCACAACCACCGTTGAAAGAACAGAAGTTGCTGGGATACGAGACCCAGTTCATCTGAAAAGCAGCAATTTCCAGCCCGGGCTCTGCCAGCGGCATTTATCCAGATCCAACGCCTGTTGGAAACAGCCGGTTTTCCCCAAGACGCTCTCATCCAAATATTAGCCTGGCCCACACAGATTCATATTTGATCAGCTGTCTTTCACAGAAAAATTAGCGTGGCAGCGCCCCGAGGCACAGCCGAGCTGCTACCTTGCCACACACTCATCCGAATGGATGTAACGAATCCACGTCAGGTCTCAAATCCCTCTCGCAGTCCGTAGCGCTGCAGGCATCACTGGGATGGTTCAGAAACCCAGCGCTATCAACTCCCACTGCTCAGTTGTTTCATACCTCCAGTCCTCCTCCCAGGCAGGAGCCACTGATGGCAGCAACTACGGGCTTTGGAGACTGCTCAATTTTTTCTAGCATCTTCTGTCCTTCCTGAGAGAGCTGAGTCACTTCCTGAGAAGTTTTGCAGGCTTCAATCATGCTGCAGCGAGGCAAAGAGGCTGATGAGAATTGGGAAAGCACTGAGAAAACAGCAGTAAAATGAGAGTTCCTTAAGGAGTTTGCTGCCCTTTTCCCACAAAGCTCCAAGGACTGACAGCCAGGCAAACGCTATTTAGTCCTCCCGCCTGAGACGGAGAGACGACGCAGGAGGACTACTAAATTCAGCGGGCGAAGTCCCCGCATGCTGACGCCGGCCTGCGCCGCAGGCAGTGAATGAGTTTCCTTGTGTCGGAGCTTTGAAAGCCTGTGGGAGAGAGGAGGAAGGGTCATAGGAAGCCTCAAAGCACTTGCCAGGAAGGGCGGAGGGGAGAGCCCAGGATCACTCTTTAGAGGAGCAGATGGCTAGTGCTGCGATGCTGCGCTTTGCCAACTACCGACTCCCGGTGCCAATCATTCTCCGGGAGGGCAGCGGGGTTTGCCAGGCCGGCGCAGTTCAGGGGGCTCGTCGCGTGGAGACGAGCGGGCGCCTTGAACACAGCCCGTCCTTTCGCTGTGCGGGGCAGCTCTAGCTGCTCCCTCCTTCCCACAACGTGGAGCAAGCCTCTGCCCTGAATAAACCCAGCCAAAAGGGGTAACGACGTTTTGAAGGGCCTATTTGCAACTCAACTCCTTTCCTCAGAGCTTTCTGGCTTTTAACGTCTTTAAACAACTATTCTGTCCTTCCTGATGTTGGGACCCGGAGCAAAAAAAAAGTGAGAGCACCCACACGGGTCGTCCCACACCCCGCAAAAGGCTGCTCAGATGCTCCGTGGGGCAGAGCGCCAAATCCTGCCTCGCCGAGGGGCCACGCTGGCAGGCTGCCAGGCACGCCAAGCCAGCTGAAATAAGTCCTGCATGTAAATTATCCGCTCTTCTTGTGTCCCAGACCAAAGGACACTGCTCCCACCGGAGCCAGGAAGGGTTTCCTTGGCTGCACACCCCAGCACGCAGCAAGGAGTGATCAAGTGTTACCGCCAAATGGGGTTTGATACTAGCCATGTTCCTCTTTTATCAAGGTCTTAACTTCACTGGAGCAAGTCAGGCATCCTCTGCACACGGATTTCATTCCCAGCCTCTGCCTCCCCCCTAGGGAGATGCTGCTCAGACCTCACAGCGCACCAGACCCCTGTCCCTGGATGCGGGACTTCAGGAAAAGCTCCACCAGCGTTCGCTTCCCCGTACTCACTCGATATCTGCTCCAGCAATGAAAGAGCCTGGCTTCGAAGAGATGAGGACGGCACTTTTGACAGCTTCGTTGGCCCAGATCTCATTCATCACATCCGTAAACTCCGCGTTCAATTGTCTGGACAGAGTGTTCACCTGGAGGCAGCAAGCACGCAGTAAACAGGGCGCCCAGCAGACAGGGAAGTTCAACCTCCCATTAAGCACCGGAGGCATCACGTCATCAGAACACTTGCACAGAAAAGAGACTGACAACAAAAAGCCAAAGCCATGAGTAGGTTTAATGATATTTTTCCAAGGAGGAGCAGCAGCTCCACAGCCTTTCAAGCTTTGCCTTTGGAAAAGGAGCAGAGCATCCCGGAACTCCCCCAACAGCCAGACCATGGCCTGGCATAATTACAAGGCTCCAAACTGAGCCCAGAACTGCTGTAAATCTCAGTTCACCTCGCGGCATGATCCAGCAAGGAAAACAAAACCCAGGATGAAACCCTGCAGCAGGTCATCAAGCGATCTGTTATGAAGAAGTTCCAACTTAACCTCGCCAACAGTTTTTGGCCTCAAACTGAGATTTTTTATAAGCTTCTAAGCTAGGTTTTTTTTTTAATATGTAACAGACACTCTCCTTAACCATCCTGAAGCCAAGAATTTAGTAAGATTTAGCTGTACCTTGTGCCACTGTGAGAAACAAGTTAGATTAGTACATACAGAATATGCCCACAAGGCACTTTCCGATACTCAAGAGCTCGTTTCCCTGTTCCTACTTTGCTGGCAGCGTGAAAGGCTGCAGGTTCGGAGACGTCTGAGTCTTAAACTCACTTTAATGCATTTTAATTCATAATTCATCAGGTGAGAATCGTGACCAGCAGGGTGAGGGAGGGGATTCTCCCGCTCTGCTCAGCTCTGGGGAGATCCCCCCTGCAGTTCCACCTCCAGCTCTGGGCCCCAACAGCAGAAGGACACGGAGCTGTTGGAGCGAGTCCAGAGGAGGCCCCAGAGATGCTCCGAGGGCTGGAGCCCCTCTGCCATGGGGACAGGCTGGGAGAGTTGGGGGGGTCAGCCTGGAGAAGGGAAGGCTCCGGGGAGACCTTAGAGGCCCTTCCAGTGCCTGGGGGGCTACAAGAAAGCTGGGGGGGGGCTTTTCCCAAGGGCAGGGAATGACAGGACAAGGGGTGACGGGTTTAAACGGGAAGAGGGAGATGGAGATGGGATATCGGGAAGGAATTCTTCCCGGAGAGGGTGGGGAGGCACTGGGACAGGTTGCCCAGAGAAGCTGTGGATGCCCCATCCCTGGGAGTGTCCAAGGCCAGGCTGGATGAAGCTTGGAGCAACGTGGTCTAGTGGAAGGTGTCCCTGCCCATGGCAGGGGGGGCACTGGGGGAGCTTTAAGGTCCCTTCCCACCCAAACCATTGTGGGATTCCATGAAATGAGAATTTTCAATGCCTTCTCCGTAAAACTGCTATTCCTGCCATTTCCACAGCCATGCCTACAAACCACAGCCAGCTGAACCCCTACCTTGGAATTTGGGGTGTTGAAGCGTACAACGGCGACGTCTCCTTTGATGTCGTAGCTCACGTGGGTTCTAGCTGGAAAGAGAAACGTGTTATCAGCTCACACTCGGCGGATTTCAAGAAAGAAACAAACTCTGACAGAAAAGTTTTGCACTTACTCTGAAGAGCGGCGGAGGCGGAGATGTTACAGCAAGCATAACCTAAAGACAAGATGTTGGAGACATTAAAGCAATTCCCAGCAGTCTCAGCTCAACTGTCCTTCACGGATGCATCCTCCCACCTCTCCCCATCTGCGGAAAATGCTGAGCATGAGCCGGTTCCTTCCCTCACGGCTTGAGCTGCCACCACCAGAGTTCAGCAGACTCCACGCTACTGAAGTGACCTTCCCAGCGCGGATGCCACCGCGGCTTCCAACACCACAACGCCAAACAGAGGGCAAACCCATCAATCAGTCACAGCCTGCTTCCCGAAGAGCTGACAAGCCACGCAGCGGGCGGCACAGGGGGTGTTTTGCCTTTAATACCCACAGCTCAATGCTCCTTCACACGCTAAACCTTGCGGGACTTCGGAGGGTTTCACTCCTGCAAGTTAACTCCTCTGCAAGCCAAGCCTAACTGCCCTAGAATATTCCTGTAAAAACACACTATTTTGGCAGTAGACGGTGCCACCCCCAATATTATTTAACAGATCTCATGAGCCAAAAAAATAGTGCACAAAATACAGATTTTCACCTCCATCTATCACCAAAATACTCCATCTACCACTACTACTAATGACATAAGGAAGCACTTAGAGAAACTTGTGTTTCAAAGCATTCAGGAAACTCAGACCACGAAGTTCTGCCCACGAGCGAAATGCTGCTTTTCTGACTCATCAACCCAGATTCCTCCTTTTCTGCTGAGAAATTGTATTTGGCCTGGTGACCTCTCACTACACGAATGAATCTCAGCTCCATTCAAGCGACCTTGATCCTGCCCGAGGGGATCATCTAGAGCAGATCTAGGCTGAATCACTGCCAAAGCTGCTTTAGGTGGATGAGGAGCTGGCC